GCTGGCATAAATGTGTTTTTGGCCCGACTCTGAACTTATTTTAGCCCGAGCGTAGCGAGGGTTAAACAGTATTCTGAGGAGGGCCAAAAACACATTTATGCCCAAGAACATCAACTGTATCACTATTATATTAACTTTTTAAAGGGCGATTTTTGTATAGAAACACTACAATGGATAAACACTACAGTCGTTCTTCTGATTGGCTAAGATCAAGGTGGGCTAAAATAGATTTTAGCCTGGCAAATTTATCATTTTAGCCCGCAAAGTACACCGCAATGCCCACCAAAGTTAATATAATAAAATATTAGCTACTACACTTCTTTACTAAAACTGTCTTGTATTATTATATATATATCTGACCATACATAATATTAATATTGTCTAAAATCTTTCATTATTTTATAGGGAGTTTGGATTGGAATCCAAGTGACAAGTATTAATTAATCACTGAAATTACTGTAAGTTTTCATCATCATTGAAATTTACAAGCATGCAATATTCCAGTGGCATGTATGGAGTTCTACCCCTGTTTAATCACCAGAATATTCACATTTAAATTATCATGCTGTTGACAATTTCTACTGTCATCCTGACCCTGGGCAATTAATTTTCACCCTTTTAAAGGGAAAATCATAGGAAATGGACTAGACAAACTATAAACAGAATAAAATGAAAATCTGAAAAGGGAAATTTGCTTTATATCACTATACCCAATACTCAAGGTCAGCAGCAAACCATATCCTGCATGACATGCTCATGTTTGATTTCATTGTTGCATTGATTAATGATTTGGTTATATGCACCATTATTATTATATGTTGATACTGTAGTCCTTCCTTCCAATCCCTCCTCTTCTTACAAATTCAAGTTATCATACTGTACTACATTGCATTGTTTGCTTTGGGACACCATTGTTGTATACATTTAAGCATTTGCAAAAACTGTATTCTGTTGAAAAAGGCTTAGTGGATCGTAATACATACACAGTTTTTCTTCCCCATATAGAAATGATTGATTAAATTACTTTAATTCGAATGAGTAAGCATTTACCTTTAAAATAAGGGGGATTTTCTCTCGGGTAGCAAGCTGTGCCCCGCGCTCTTTAGCTATATTCTGCTCTTGTTGATGTAATATTTTTTGATTTTGTTCAATGATTGTCCGTTGACTTGCCAAAATACGTCGCATGAGTTCCTCATTCTGACCATTGATTGCCATTTTTTTAAAAAACTGGTAGCTTTCGTTAAAAAATTAAATGTTAAGTGTATAAAAACTGGCTTGTCAAACAACTTGAAAATTTTTCCTTCGAGTTTCCCTCTCGAATTCTAGATTTAGCGCGAAATAAATATGAGGCTTCTAATTGGTTGGTTTAGGTCACCTGGACACTTATAGTGTCCCTGAATAGCATCTACTACCCCCGTTTAGCCCTTTGTGTTTCTTTTAAACTCTTGTTTTTATATCAACATCGCTTATAAAAATCTAAAAACAATCATGGCTGAATACAACAACTATATGACCTTGTGTCCACATTGCGAGACCTATTTACCTGCAAGAACTTTCAGGCGACATAGGGAAGTTTATTTTGACCAAAATTCAAACTCGTGGCAAAGAGATCCAATTTTAGAAGGCAGTAGTGATGATGAAGACAACTTTATTGAGATCGACCAGGTCACTCCATGTTTCCCTCTTCCATCAAATCATTGCGATAGCAATTATACTGAACCTGACTCGGCTGATGAATTGTTCCGCGAAGAACTGCTTGAGCGTGAGATCTGGGATGATATTTCAGATAATGAAATCGACGAAGACACTAAAATTCCATCCGTTAGTGTCAATACGTCAGATTCTCCTTCCAACCGCACGTTGCTCAATTGTCTAGTTATTTTACTTGCGTTTTTTTGGACCTACTTTCCCATACCGGACAACGCAATGGAGTTTTTGCTTTTGTCGTTGAAACGATTCTTTCAAGCAGCATCTCTTTCCAACAATTGGCTTGCCACATTCTCCTTGGCTTTTCCTGGATCGCTGTACCTTTTTAGAAAAGAAGTAGGCCTGGTAGGTGACAAGTTTACTAAGTACGTTATTTGTCCAAAATGTTCTTCCTTGTATGAATTCGAAGATTGCTACCGAACAGTTGGTACTCGCAAGGTGTCCAAAACCTGTTCCTTTGTTCGTTTTCCAAATTATAGACAATTGCGCATGCGTCAACCATGCAGCTCAACTCTGTTGAAAGAGGTAACTCTTAAAGATGGTGGTAAGCGATTATATCCTCATAAAATATATTGTTACCAGAGTGTTATTGCAACATTGCAACAGTTTGTTAGGCGAGCTGGTTTTACCCAGCGATGTGAGTTGTGGAGAAATCGTGATATTCGAACTGCTCATCAAGTTATGTGTGACGTATTTGAAGGACGAGTCTGGAGAGATTTTCAGATGTTCAATGGATCATCCTTTCTGGCATCTCCTCGTAATTATAGCTTTATGCTCAATGTTGATTGGATGCAACCATATGATCACACACCATATTCTGTCGGAGTTTTGTACCTTGTTTTGATGAACCTTCCGCGCAGTGAGCGCTTTAAACGACAAAATATTTTTCTCGTCGGAATCATTCCCGGACCTAGTGAGCCCAAGAATAACATTAACTCATACCTTAAACCACTCGTTGATGAGCTTGTTGTTCTTTGGGAGGAAGGCGTGACCCTACGACATTCTGGCTCACTTATTTACCAGAACGCTTTCGAGCTGCTTTGTTGTGCGTAGCCTGTGATATGCCAGCCAGTAAGAAGGTTTGCGGGTTCACTGCTCACAACTCTAAACGTGGTTGCAATAAGTGCACCAAAGAGTTCGTTACTGGTGGATTCGGTGATGCAACTGATTATTCCGGATTCAATTCGAGTAGTGGGAGAAATATTGTTGACCATAGGAGGCATGTTGAGGAGATTTTAGCGCAGTTGACGCAGGAATTGCGTAATGCGAAGGAGTCTCTATATGGCGCTAGATATTCCGAACTTCTCCGACTACCATACTTCGACTGCATTAGGTTTACTATTGTTGATCCGATGCATAATTTATTTCTGGGAACTGCGAAACGCATGATGGAATTGTGGTTGGAACTTTCTCTTTTGACACGTGCAGATTTGGAACTTATTCAACAGAAAGTAGACATATGTAAACACCTTCAAACATGGGTCGACTTCCGTTCAAAATAGCCAAGTCGTTTTCTGGATTTACGGCAGAACAGTGGAAAACCTGGGTAACTGTCTTCTCTCCGTTTGCATTGTTAGGTCATCTACCTGGTATAAACATTACAAATGCTGGTTGAATTTTGTTAAAGCTTGTAAAATTCTGTCACGGCCAATGATTAAAATACATGACGTGGGTCTTGCGCATTCTCTGCTTGTAAAGTTCTGTCGTGATGTCGAAAAGTTATATGGAACACAACGCATTACACCGAATATGCATATGCATACACATTTGGCCGATTGTATTCTTGACTATGGACCAGTGTATAGTTTTTGGTTGTTCAGCTTTGAACGGTACAATGGCATACTGGGTAACTATTCGAACAATAATAAGTCAATTGAATTGCAAATTATGAGAAAGTTTTTGAGAGATCAGAACTTGAGAGAACTTGAATTCCCAAAAGAATGTGTGCAGCATTTTAGCGATTTGACTGATAAACTACAACAGCGCGAAGGCCATCAATCTTGTAGCGAAGTAGTTGATAGCAAGCTTGCAATTGATATTCTTCATTTGTGTGATGGTAGGCTTGACATTCGTGATGAGTTATGGTTTACTCTGGATGGTTACTCCATTGGTTTACCTCACGTTATTGAACAGTTAGATTGTGATGAGCACGAGTACCTGAGTGCTGTTTACAAAATATTTCTTCCTGACATACCAGTCGACAACATTCCTTACCTCTACGACAAATACGCGTCGATCGAATTTTCAGGGGAACGATACGGGTCAGAGTTTTCCCGTCTAAGTCGTTTTGCTTACATTTTAGCAAGGTGGGCAGGACGATTCCATGGAGGTGTGGATATGGAAGGTGTAGAGGAAAGACCGGGCATTATCGATTGTTTCGTACGCCAGTCGATTTCGTATCGGGATAAGGTACATTCGTTTTGTTTTGCGCACGTTCGCTGGTTTCAACGGCACCCTGAACGATTTCATTATGGTAATGATGGAGTTACGCCCGAGATTTGGTGCTCAAACTTGTTCGAGAGTTTTGGTCCGGCGTCCTTTATACCCGTTCAACGCATAGCGCGAAATTTAATACCCGGTTATGATAAAGTTGATGACGAAACCGTCTTGTTTGTTATGCCATTGGAAAGGCGAATTCTTCTGTGATTCAGATGGAATTTGGAGGCTAACTAGTTTAAGTCTGACTATAGCACATTCAAATCAATGCCCTTGATCATGGTTCTTCGTAGTGCTTTAAAGTTCGTAATACCGTGCTGACAGAACTGTGACGTATTTAATACCCAGAAATGGGGGCAGATCAGGGTTAAAGTAACACATAATTAACGGCGTTAAGTGGTTTAATACATGAATGCATCCATGCATGCACGCTATATAACCATATGCCCTAGATTATAACCGCTATTTGTATTATCGCGTTATTAATTCGTGTAAGCCCTAATGGATACTGAACAATATTAATTTATAGGTTCCTTGAAAGCTTGCATGTTGAAAACAGTATTTTATCGTACGTTTGTGGAAATACCGCGTGAAAAATTTAATTTTGCAATCCTCTGGGGCCGGTTGTATAACTGCATGTACTGTAGTTAACGACAGAATTGGCCAATCAGAGTCGTGTATTGCTCATTTAACTATGCAAAATGTACTTAAAGAGTTTTATACATCTGGAGCCGGTTGTATAAAGCTCTTAACTACATTTTGCATAGTTAAATCGTAGTTAACTCAGAAATACATGACTCTGATTGGTCAATTCTGTTACTAACTATGATTAAGAGTTTACTACATTTTTATACAACCGACCCCTGGTCCCTGATCTGCAAAATTATATTCACGCAATATTTCTCCAAACGCACGATAAAAAAATTGATTTACTAAATGTAGACTTAAATTTAGTTCTCACTGGAACAAAGATATTATCAATTAGGTAATTTAAGCACTCTGTTTATACTATATATGCTATCCGAATTTGCTTTCTTGGTATACAATACCACCTTATACTAGCAAGAGACCGTATTGCCCGCGTTGCTTCTAAGCAGTTGTTTTGTCAGCCACCGAAAACCGGGTTTTTGGTTAGGGGCTAGGACTTTTGTTACTTAATTATATTCTAAGTTTTAAAGTTTAATATATCCTGGTTCCGGTTTATGGTACATATTGGTTGAACGTTTTTCAGTGGTTAGGCCAGCCTGCCAACTTAGTCCTGCTATTCTCGTATTTTGATGTTTAAAGAAATCAGTAATGATAATAACAATATGTTCCCATTCGATTAATTTTTCAGTTTTTAAACGGATTCATTTAGAGATTTTCCCCTTTTCGAAAGGCTCTCACTTTTTGAAAGTGAATAAAATTCTAGTTGATGCTTTTCTAGAGAAGTCTCGAAACGCTACCCGTAAACTGGATCCAGGGTGTTTTGTCAACATTAGGTTTAAGACGTTGAATCCAAAGTTATTCAACGTTTTATTTAAAAATATAATCAAAGGCCTTGTATGTTTAGGTACATTTGTTCATATAGCGTTTATTTAATGCATTTTAAACTATTTAAACGTGATTAACGTTGTATTACTTTTCCTGATCTTTGATTCTGACGCCCTTTAGAAATCATACAAATCATCAGCCTTGATACTGCCTCGATTAATTAAGGGTCGTGGTCAAACTTCAGATGAAGAAACGGGTAAGGAAAGTCCAATGGGTGGAGTAATTTTAACGTAGTTGAGTAAACTTTATTTTTCAGCTGTTTTGTTTTTAAACCAAAAAGCTTTGTAGTAGGGTATAGAGAGGCTGCTCTGTTTACTGCTAGGCGCCGAAAACCAGGCCTGCGTAACCCTATGTATAGGTTTCGGCTTTTACTGACGTTTTTGAACGACTGCACTGGTTCTGCTCGAAGATTTTAGTTAAAAATGATAAAAATCCTCGTTTGAAAGCAGCATGTACTTTATTACATAATTATAGTGCTAAGGAACGATTTTGGTATTTTTAAACTGATTGCGTTTGAAGGATATCGTCGATGCGAAGTTTTTTTGAATAGCTTATTCTTTCAAAGGAAATAACTCGGGTCTTTAAAAAGCATGGGTAAACAGGATGTAAGGAGCTCTAGGTTTACTTCCAATAGTCAGAAACAAAGGTGCGAGATCATAGCGGACGCTGTCACTTACAACCGCAACCTGTTTCCAGGATCTAGACCCGTAATAATATAACTGTTAACTGTTTACTTTCCGAGATCATATAGTCCAAAAACCTAATAAAATATATAAATCTAACAAAATTGCACAGTAAAACTTGCCAAAATCCCGAGAATTTCTAAACTTAGTTTGCATAAAGAATAGTTTTATTAATTTAGAACAAGTCATGAGGAAATAACATTAGATATTAAAATATTTTCCCCTTAATTGTGCCACGATTATGTGCCTCTGATCGATATGAAAATCTGCTTAATAGGTATGAAGGAGCCAGTCCTTTTAAGCACGTGAAAGTCATCACTGCATCTTTGAAACGTAACTGACGGGAAGCCAATTTACTTGACGTAACACTGGTGTTAAATGGTCATATTTGCCTTTCGCAGTCACTATTCTTGCAGGAAAGTTGTGTACACGTTGCAGTTTGGCGACATTCTTGTTTCGTGTATTCGCCTAAACAGAAGAAGAGTAATGTACGTAATCTGCTGGATACTAAAGCGTTAGTTTATTATTGTCACAAGGGTATGGTCATCTAGGATATGTTTAATTCGGTTAATTTGACACAGAGATTTCATACATTTCGATACTAAACACCCATCCAATTCCATCCCAAATCGTTTGCAGCGGACAGTGGTTGTAGTTGTTTATCAAGAAAGGACACACTGAAATCTTGTATTCCCTTCAACATTTGTGGTAATCCAAAGCTTTTTTTTTCTGGATTAATAAGCAGACTATTGGAAAAACATGCACCACGTTGCATGCACCACACTGCAATTTTCTGCAAATCATTCCTAAGTTGAGCCTGTGGTAGACTTATTTATAATAAAGAACGACAAGTAGACTTTTGAATAGTCCGCAGAAGATTCCAAAGGGCACGTGCACTTGTCATGAACAGTCGGTAAATGATTTATACAGATGTTAAATAACAATAATGGACTAAGCATGGAGGCCTGAGACACACCATATTCAACCGAGCAAGTATATATCTGACAAATTTTGACCAATTTGACCGACTGTTTCCTTTTAGACAAATAACTCTTAAACCAAGCTATTGTGCGGTAGAAGCACCCATTGAGCGAAGTTTGTTAAGAAGTTCAGATGATTAACGCTTTCAAACGCTTTTGATAAATCTTATCAAGCGACTGTAGTCCATTCCTTTCCATCCATATAGCATCCAAGATCGCATCTGTCAAAAATAGATTTCTGTCGAATGACTCCTTGTCTTACTGCTTTGATGAACGGTAATATAAGGCGTTTTTTCCCTAGTTAAATACTCAGGAAATTGATTTTGCGCGACCACATGGAGCATTTAGCGAAGCTGCTGGGAGCGTGACAGAGGCCGGTTATCATTTAGTATATATTTCAAAGTCTCCTTCTTTTAAAAGTGGTGTGACTTTAACAAGAACAATTAGCGATCTATATCTCTTTTAATGTTGGTAATATAACAGGTAAAGCATCTTTAATCACTCTAAACGATACCTTGTCTATGCTAGGTGCTTTATTTGGTGAAAACGAGTTCACAATCTCATACGTTGATACCGGATAAAAGCGGAATTCGTCCATGTCCTTAGCTAGCCGGTTGTAAACTTTTCGTTCGCCGCACCTTGCGTCCCGCATTTTTACCGCTGATATTTCACGAGGCGAAGCCGATCCCCGCGGCTCACCCCCGGTTTGTGACACATATCGAAAAATTAAATAATTCGATAGATTGAGTTTTTTCAACTTTAATTTATATAACTCGGACACGGACAGGTAGTTACCTTTTTAATGTTCGTTCCTTGTTTTTATGTAGAATTTATTTTTAGCTAAGTTATTGATTGTATTTTAAATTGAGGGCCTACATGAAAAGCACCTATGGGTGATTGTGGCACCCTCATAAAATATTTTGATAATAATAAAAAAATAATAAATAACAGGAACTTCGTGTAATGTCAAGCTAAGCATATATAGTCTGCCGCCTCGCTTCGGCTCGAAAAATAATGTTACTTTAAAACGTCAAAAATCTGTTTCTTTATGACATACCTAATGACTTTAAAGTGGTATTCTGATTCATTCCGAGCAGTTAAGCTTTTTTATAACGAAAAGTAAATTTTTCGGTTTCTAATGTGATATTTCGCAAACTCTGATCTTTTATCAATATTTCGCGCTCTTTATATAAATCTATATCGCTATATAAATTTATATCGCGACTGTATCGATATGTATCGATAATACCAGTATTTAATATGCTCAAACTTATCAAGTAAAGTAGATTGTCTTCCTTCAATGATGTCATCAGGGGGTTCCTTTTATCCCTATCGCCCGGTGACACTCATAACGCTAATCCGCCCCCGCACACTTGCGCTCTAATACTCACGCCACCGATACCCAGAGGTTTACAATCTAATTTAAATTAATCGACAACTATAAAAAAGGTTTTAACGCACTAGAAAAACGCTAAAAATGAAGCCGCGTATAGGTTTCAACCAAATTAATATAAGGTCTTCGTTTAGATGGTTATAATAAGTATAGATATAGTTTATAATAGTAATTGTGATTTGAAAATTGAAATTTAATTTAGGAATCGTTCGAAAATTTAATTCAACAAAATTGCAATAGATTTGCTCTATACAGCAAATTTGACACGGATTTGGTATTATATTTGCTACAGTAATATTTATATGCAAATTTGTGTGCCAATTTGTTGCCAATTTGTTGGAAATATATATGCTAGTAACACATGAAATTTTTATTTTAAGCCCTGTTTACAATTTCTTTGAGGTTTTCCATACTTATTTTTGTACGCTAAAGCATAAAAACCGATTTTAACGAACTTACGAATTTACTAGAGAGCCTGATGAATTTGCTCAAAATTGGCACCTATACGCAAATGTCTTGCAAATTTTGGGATAAATTTGCCACGCTGGCAAATTTGTGGCAAACGTGTTGCAAATTTATTCGGTTGCAAAGATGAATACGCAATGGTTGCAAATTCAAAATACGAAATTTGCACCAAATTTGCATCTGGTGCAAATTTTGTGCAAATCTAAATTTTCGTCCCGTGTAAGGGCATCATTACCTTAAGAATATTTTAAATATTGACAATAATCTATTTTGTCGATTGCATGCACCATCGCTATATTTTCTTCGCAAAGCTAAAGCTGCAATGTCGCTATTTCTGCCGCCATATTTTTTTCATATTAGTTACATATTTTGTGACCATACGATCACATATGCATGTGTTATGATTTTTAACCAGTATAACAAGTCGCTAATTAATACTTGTGATCTAACTAAATTATTGGTGGTCACTATATTCATTCCCCCCATATA